CTCCCCCCCCTCCCTGCTGGACACCCAGGTCCCAGCAGATAGGTCGGCCCGGGGGGCACCCAGACTCTGCAGCACCCCCGTTTCCTGCTCCTCCCCCTCAACCGCCAGTCTGCCCCTGGCCCCTGGAGCCCGCCCTGCCGGCCAGCTCACCCGTGAAGAGGTCGGCCGTGGGGGGCCGCAGGTTGACGCTGGCTCTCCAGATCTGCTCCATCTCCCGCAGCTTCTCCCGGTTGGCTTTGTCCTGGTAATCGAGGCGGCCGAAGAAGAAGCCGTCGAAGCCCATCTGGAAGGGGGACGGGGGAGGTGCTCACGGCCCCAGAGCCAGCAGGCACCCAAACAGCCCTGCTCTGTGCCTCAGTTTCCCTCTCTGTGCAAAGCACGTCGAGACCTGCGGATGGGGAGGCCACCGGTGGGTCTCCAGAGCCCCCGTGGGGGGCGGGGGGCTGGGCTCACCTGGGCGAAGAGGGAGGCCTGCTCGCGGGAGTGGCCGAAGGGGTCGATGTGCCAGGCGGCGCGGGGCCGGCCGCACTCCCCGAAGGTCTCCTGCAGGAAGCGCAGCCCCAGCGTCATCTGGTCGATCATGGCGTTGTAGTGGGCCGCCGCCTCGTCGTTCATGCACCAGCCACCGTTGATGAACTCCAGCCGCCCTGCGGGGGGCGGGAAGGGCCGGTCGCGCTCCGTGCCACTGCCGGGGGGCAGCGGGGAAGGGAAAGCCGGGCGCCCTTGGGGGGAGCCGCGAGGACAGGAGAGTCGCTCGGCGCAGAGGTGCCCGATGCAGCTACGCACGAGAGGCGTATAGGCCGACACCGCCCACGTCCGCCACCTGCCCCCGCAGGCAGGAGTGTCCGTGATCTGCCTTTCTCCACTGCAGCAGCAACCGCCCAGCACGGGGCGCCGCTCGTGAGACAATCCAGTTGTGCGAGACACGAGGCGACCCGAGCAAAGCCCCCGTGCGTGCCAGAGAGACGCACACACGTTCGCTCCCCGGGACGTGGGCTGCGAGGGACCCACCAGAACAGGTAACCGGTGAGGGGGTGAGTGTGAGGCCCACACCCCGGGAAGGGCACAGGTGTCAGGGATCTGAGGTGCGTGGGTTGGTTTGTATCCTGCAATGCACGACCCCGGGGTCTGGTCCCGGTGTCTTAACCAGCGTCGCATCAGATACCCATGGGGGGCAGGTGTGTCCGTGGGCATGTGCCTCAGTGGGCCAACGAATCCCTGTGAGCGGGCCTGTCTCCCCCCATTGGTGCGCTGCCCCCCTCTGCGTGAGTGTGGGGGGCATCCCCAGCC